AGACTCTGTCTCAAAAAAGAAAGAAAGAAAGAAACTTAAAAAAAAAAAATCATAATTACATAGAAGCTTTCTCAAATATTTTACTTTTACTACCTTTTTTTTTTTTTTTTGAGCCAGAGTCTCACTGTGTCGCCCAGGCGGGAGTACAACGATGTGATCTCAGCTCACTGCAAGCTCCGCCTTCCGGGTTCACGCCATTCTCCTCCCTCAGACTCCTGAGTAGCTGGGACTACAGGCGCCAGGCACCACGCCCGGCTAACATTTTTGTATTTTTAGTAGAGACCGGGTTTCACCGTGTTGGCCAGGATGGTCTTGATCTCCCGACCTTGTGATCCACCCGCCTCAGCCTCCCAAAGTGCTGGGATTACAGGCATGAGCCACCGCGCCAGGCCTTTACTACATATTTTTAAAAACCACACTACTTGGCCGGGCATGGTGCCTCACGGCTGTAATCTCAGCACTTTAGGAGGCGGAGGCGGGCGGACCCCCTGAGGTCGGGAGTTGGAGACCTGCCTGACCAACATGGAGAAACCCTGTCTCTATTAAAAATTCAAAATTTGCCGGGTGTAGTGGCACGCGTCTGTAATCTCAGCTACTCCGGAGGCTGAGGCAGGAGAATCGCTTGAACCCGGCAGGCAGCGGTTGCAGTGAGCCTAGATCGCACCATTGCACTCCAGCCTGGAGAACAAGAGCAAAACTTCGTCTAAAAAACAAACACAAAACAATCGTACTACTTGATTATGTTTAAATATTTCAAGGAAATGGGATAAGGAATTTTATAATTTATCCCTAATAGTCTCCTAATCACTAACAATATATTATTTTGATAATTGTATAGGTTTAACTTTTGTGACTGTATTCTGATTTTAGCATTCAACATTTATAAAGTTAAGAATATGCTCTCAGAAGGTAACTCATTGCCCCAGGTTATGAAGAAATAAGATATAATCTTTACTTCAAATACTTAACATCCATATTCATTCAAGAAGAAAGCATATATATGTACCCAAAAACAATTATTAAGATTTAGTACTAAATTTCGCAATTCTAGATACTTTTCCATTCTAACAAAATAAGTTAGTGCTAATAAAAAGAAATTCTACATTACATTCATTTGGTATCTTAGAATCTTTTCATTGGTTACCTACGAAATTATAATCCTGAATTACTTTCTTAAAAGGTTGTTTTATTAGCAAACACTTTGCCTTCAAATCCTACAATTACCTTTAATGAGTAAGTTTTTTAAAAGAAAATTATATAAAAGCTTTCAACATGTTAAATATTTATCTACTTCAATCAGTTCTCCCTCTTACACTACAGATACCTACACTTAGATTCTCTTACATGCAGGAGACAATGTGAAAAAAATTAAAAACTCCTGAAGCACAAACTCAAAGAACCACAATTCTAAAAAAGCAGCTGTGCTATACACAATGATCCAGAAATTAATGACTAGCTGCAGGCACAATGACAAGTTAAAACACAACATCCTCCAATGATTACATCACTGATCTGCACTTGAGTAATAGGGTGCTAAATATCTGATATAAAAATTATGATTCATATAGTGTCAAGTCTAACAAATTAACCACTGTTCTCTTAAAATTTTTAAATCATGAAATTATCACAAACCGAACTTAATTCTTGTTAGTATTAGTATCTCTAAGTATAAGATTTCAAAAAGAATAAAACCTGAAAGATTTTCAACTTTTCTAATGCCTACAATACCAAAGATGAAGATACCAGACCCACACACATTTCAATGGAGGTATGAAGAAGGAAAATGTGAATGTAAGACCAACACTCCAAATTTATATAACAAAATATTTTCCATAGCGTTTTATCATTAACCAATGGCAGCCCTAAACCAAAATGTTCTGATGAAAAATTTGAACAATTTCAGCATTTCAAACAAAATTTTTCAGCAATTTCTGTATTTCAACAATTTAAAAATTTCAATCATCACTTTGAAATAAAATCAGATTTTTGGAAGGAAAAATTCATTTCACTTAAATACACCGTATCATGGATAGAAATATTTTTTTAAAAAAATTTAAAAAGGGATTTCTCAAAAGGGGATTATGATACAACTATTTTACAGTTTTACATAGGAACCCTCCCAACTTTAAGTGAACAAAAAGAAATAGTGTAAGATTTATTTATTTATTTAGAGACAGAGTCTCACTCCGTTGCCCAGGCTGGAGTGTAGTGGCGTGATCTTGGCTCACCGTAACCTCCACCTCCCAGGTTCAAGTGATTCTCGTGCCTCAGCCTCCCAAGTAGCTTGGATTACAGGTGCACATCACCAGGCCCGGCTAACTTCTGGATTTTTAGTAAAGACAGGGTTTCACCATGTTGACCGAGGTCTTGAACTCCTGGCCTCAAGTGTTCTGCCCACCTTGGCCTTCCAAAGTGCTGGGATTACAGGTATGAGCCACTGCACCCAGACTAAGATTTTTTAATTCACAAAATTATACAAATATATGTTTTTGAGTACTTTATAAATTTGTTAAATAATGTAATTTTTCAAGATTTTCTGAAACACAAACAGAAAACTCAACAATAGGGGGGTGTGATGGCTCACACTTGTAATTCTGGTGCTTTGGGAGGTCAAGGCAGGAGAATCCCTTGAGTCCAGGAGTTGGAGACCAGTCTGGCTAACACAGTGAGATTCCGTCTTTACAAAAAAAAAAATTAAAAATTAGCTGGGTGTGGTGGCATGTGTGTGCAGTTCTAACTACTCGAGTGGCTGAGATCACTTGATTCCAAGAGTTCAGGAATGCAGGGAGCTATGATTGCCACTGCAGTCCAGCCTGGGCAACAAAGTGAGACCCTGTTTCTATATTCCTATATTTTTTATAAAACAAACATTATGAACTTATTAATCATGACATCCCTGATTATCAAAACCATGAAGAAGCTCTATCTAAAATAAACTTCCTCTCTTAACTTGCATGTTAGAATTATCATCTAAAAGAACACAACATTTGTAGGCACTGAAGAGTATCATTTTTCTAAGAGTGAAATAATTAATGTTGTATACAGCAAGTCTAGCTTCTTTTTAGTTGTCTTCTACAGCATGCTAAGATGAAAAAAAGTCAGACTACAAGGATTTAATAATTCTATGAAATGTCTTATATTTGCCAAAAATGGCTTTTGAATAGATTGTTCATTGAGTCTAGCAGAACACACATATAACCAAAAGTGGTAACTCTGTTATTATGTTAGGTATTTTGACAGTTAATTTTAGATGTGAACTTGACTGAATTAAGAATACCTAGAGAAGTGGTAAAGCAATTACTTCTGGGTGTGCCAGAGGAAACTGGCACGTGTGTCAGTGAACCAAGTGGGAAGATTCACTCTCGATGTGGGCAAGTACCATCCAATTGGCCGGGGGCCCAGACAGAACAAAAAATGAGAGAAAGGGATTTCCTCTCTCCTGGAGCTGGGATACTCTTCTCCTCCTGCCCTTGGACATCAGAACTCCAAGCTCTTTGGCTTTGGGACTCTGCACCTTACACCAGCAGTCCCTCAGATTCTCAAGGCTTTGGCCTGGGATTGAGAATTATATCCTCAGCTTCCCTGGTTCTAAGGCTTTCTGATTTGGATGGAGCCTAGCTATTGGCATCTCAGTTCTCCAGCTTACAGACAGCCTGTCATGGTCATTCTCAGCCTTCATAATATCATGAGCAAATTTCTCTAA